AAAAAAAAAAAAAAAGAACTGACTCAGTCTTGGTTGTAGTCCGTAACAAGGAGCCACAGGCCCTTAGAGATCGCTGGGTCCAACTTGTCGCTTTGTAGATGAGCAGACAACCCTGGAGAGGAGCAAGGAAATACTAGAAGTAATTTAGTGACTTAATGACACAATGGGACCAGGTCCATAGACTCTAGACCTCATCTCCTTACACGACCTTATTCTGCAGAGTAAGCTGGAGGCTACATTTAGCACCTAGAGCTATACAGAGCTTTGTCCTGGGCTGGTTTAAGGTGGGGCCCACATCCACCAGAGAGGCCCATCAGCTGGGGCATGATGGGGACGGCCTGCACCTCCCCTGGCAGGCCTCCACCCTCCCAACTGTCACCTGCAAAGCCCGTGTGAGAACTGAAGCTGTCAGTGTCTCCCCCTGGGGACGCCCACGTCTGCTGCTGAGCCACGAGTTTGAACAAAGAGAGCAGAGGCAGCACTCTCCCCTCACCCCAGACATGCAGTATAGCTCCCTGAGTACCTGAGGGCCAGGCCTCCACTCCACCCCACTCAGGTTCCCAGAGCTTGATGGAGGAGGGATGAGATGTCTCCCGAGTCCTTGTAGCTGGTGGGAAGGAGCCAAGGGGACCAGTTCAGCATCAGTGGTTATGAGATGGTAATATGAATAATGACATTATCCTAAGGACTTTATTAATTTTTCTCTGTTAATTCTTTAAGGACCATATAAGGTGTTACTACTTCTTATACTGTAGAAGAAACAGTTTAAGTAACTTGCCTGAGGTCAGTAAGCAACAGAGCAGGGATCCCACTCATGTCTGCTTGATACCTAATTTTATCCAGCTTTGCATCGGAGGTTCCCGCTCCAGTAAGGATGAGGGGAAGAAGAAGGTCACTAGAAGAAATGTAAGCGACACAATGGCCAGGGCCATGGGCAGTGGCTGTGGTGAAAAGGCCAGAGAAGTTACGTGGCTATGGAGTAATAGGCCAGGAAACTCTAGGGACCGTGAACAGAGGCACTTCAAAATGTAAAATGTGTAAAAACACACTGGGCCCATTAAATGACAGATGGCTGGGTTGAAACCTCAGGGACATTAAGGGGAGGGGGTAAGAGATGAGCACGGAGTAGAAGGTTTGGAACCCTACTTTTAAGTACCTTAAATGGCAGGCAAAGGAGTTTGTGCCCAAGCCTGCAGGCAGTGAGTCACCACAGGTCTTTGGGTATGGAAGTGACATGAGCAGGATGGTCCTTGGGCAGAGGAGGCTGGGAGAGGTGCATGGACTGGGGCAGCAAAGATAAGGCCTGAGAAGCTGAGTTTAGCAGGCAATTAACTTTACATATTGGAAGGTAATGAAGTACTGACCATAGGGAGAAGGCAGTGCGAAAGGAGAGGCACTACGGGTGTGAGTCAGGACTGCGATGACTGGGTACAGGCGGGAGTCTTAGGTGGTGGGTGAGGAACTGGGAGTTAGAGGGCAGAGGAGGACATGGGTAAATGGATCCATTTTGGAGTCTCTTGAGTTTGCGATGCTAGAATATCCATATGGGGTTTCGGCAGCTCTCCAAAGATCTGGGTCTGAAATTCAGAACAAGTTAGGGCAAGAGATACAGAAATGAGAATAATTCCCATAAAGATGGTAGTAGAGGGGTGCCTGGGTGGCTCGGTCGGTTAAGTGTCCCACTTCCTTCCACTCAGGTCATGATCCTGTGGTTCACTGGTTCCAGCCCTGCGTCGGGCTCCGTGCTGACAGCTCAGAGCCTGGAACCTGCTTCAGATTCTGTGTCTTCCTCTGTCTCCCTCTGCCCTTCCCCTGCTCATGCTCTCTCTCTCTCTCAAAAATAATTAAAATAAAAACATTATTTAAAAATTTTTAAAA